GCTCACCTTGGGAAGTGCGTACGCCACTGTAAGTGTGTATTGTTGAAGTTGCATAGAACCTTGTGCTGAGTAAATGTGCAGAGATGAACTCCTATTGGTGCAATCGCGATGATTTGTTTTGGGTCTATAGTTTATTTGGTATACTCGTAGTATATGTACCAGATTAAGATTAGGCCCTAATTTTATCCCGATTTTCCTCATTTTAGTTCTATTACGGAGTTCGGAGACTGTCTGTGTTAGCCGAGTAAATAAAGGCCCATAGGTTTCGGTCCCTTTACACAACTTGATATAAAATAGGCGAACAAAATTAGTTACCTCCATATTGGTACACACACTTCTGGAGCGTCGTTAATTTTGTGTTTGTCGAATGACTTGCGTACATGACTGTGTCTCGCATATCAAGCCCAGGCCTGCTCCTGCCACATCATAGATGATGGGAAGGGCATGGGCGTGTTTCACTCATCTGAAATTGCCCACCTACGGTGTCATGAAGCAAAGTTTATTATCATTTAATATTACCACCACCACGATAAAATTGAGAGCATTCACTTACCATCGTGGCCTTAGCTGGATCACAAATATTATTAAGAAAAGTTTAATTTTAACTTTATGTTTTCACGGTTCTTGGAAATGTCATTTATTAAATTGGATTGTTGGCAAATATGCAAATATATATTTGATTTATGATATTTGCTTAACCCACGCACATATGAACAATGTTTCTTTTGTCTGCTTCTACTTTTTGAATTGTTATCACGTTAACAAATATACTTGCGTGATAAGGACGTATCTTACCTAGAACTGCAATAATGTATTTTGCGTAAATGCAAGAAAAAAACATTTATGACGTCATGATAATTTCCTCTATTTTTTTTATATACAAATCTGATATGACGTCACAACGAATTTTCCAAGTGTGAAAAATACAAAATATGACATCACGATATATATGACGTTACAAAATTTAATTTCTTAAAATGCCTATACAACAAAATCCTGCGCATGCCTATATGAGTGTGTATATTGTAGATTTAGAAGTTCTCTAAGTTGGGACAGGCTTCATTGACCATTTCTGTCAAGCGTATTTGGTACTCCAGAAGTATATTACCCAACATGGCGGAAACCGGAACGTAGTATGTGTACTAGGTTAGGGTTAGGCCAACATTTCAGGTACAAATACTAAGAGAGTCACTTGGCTAGTCCCCGAACATGAATAGAATTTAAATATTGAAAATTGTAATAAAATTATCGCCTAATCCTAACCTGGTACACATACTACATTCCGATATCCGTCATATTGGTGCACATATGTTTGGAGCGCCGCGTTTTTTCGTTCTTTTGGGAAACGTAACTTTTGTAGCGAAATATGTAATGGTGACAAGACCTATTTTGGGCCCTTGGTGATGCAAGCTATTTCATTTTTTTTTCAATACTGAGACGTCGTATATTATACTTCGTCAGATTTACGATTTCGAAGACTCGTACAAAATTGTTTTCCAGTGAAATAAATCTATTTGTTAGTTTTCCAAATTTGATTCGAGTCATTCCGTCCAAACAACTCGAGAAATTCTAAGTATTCAGTCGTCCAAACTTGGAATGTTTGAAAAAACTCGGGGTTACAGCTTCCTTGTTTTTTATCGCTCTGACGCCAATGGGACTGCGGTTAGACTCCATCACGTCGGAGTATCGGATATGAAGAGGAAAGTCACGTGAAGAAGTCATGCGCCTTCTCGGTTACTTTCGTAATACTGTCGCAATTCAAGAAAAGAAGTAACATACCTATATATTGTTCTTTTCTATTTTAGGCCATTCAGTCCCGCCAGGGGAGCGTACAGTTTGTGAGACGAACATTCCTATTTTGACATCTAGCTATCGCCTATATTTTACTCTATCTGTGTAAATTCAGATGAGAGTCTGCGAGAGCATTACTGTATTTTCAAGCCTATTTAGGAAGCCTAAATAGGACAGGATAAAATTAACATTTTTATTCCGGGGGAGAAGAAAGGCGATACGACGGCCATATGGCGAACCACCACCTCTCGTCCAGTTACCAGCGGTTACGTGAACCACCCTACGGCGGCGAGAAATGTAGCAGTGCGGTGGCGAGCGTATTCCTAACGCTTAGCACGATGAGCCTCGCCTAACTGGGAAACTGATTCGCGCGGAATTTCTTTATTTTTCTTTCACAAATAAAAGTCGGAAGTAACTCTGGTAAATTCTATAAAAACACCGATAGTTGTTTATGATAGACTGCCGAATTTTTATTCAAAGTCGCTATGCAATGATTCAGCAGAAATATTTAAATACGGATATATATTCAATTTTATTGTGCGCTTTTGCATCAAATAAATAACCATTAGGGCGAACGCCCGCGACATTTTGTAGATATATCTGAATTATAATCATATAAAGCAGGGGTGAGCAACCTTTAATACAGGAGGACCAGTTACAAATTACTGGGTGAAACCGCGGGCCGCACTTTAATTTAACATAGGTTATTGATCTTCTGACATGCGTTGTTTGCTTCGCCCAAGCTTGCTGTTAAGGCATTTTAACTTCATAAAGAATATAAAAAGAAATAAATTGGATTCGGGTATGGGCTTTGCAATTTAAATGGATTGGAAATACTCGCATGTATCAGGTCAAACTAAATTAAAAACTCGTTCCGCGGGTCGCAGACCATTTAGAAGTGGCACTTTTCGTGGGCCCCTCAATTTTCCCTTTTGAGTCGCATTTGGCCCGCGGGCCGCAGGTTGCACCCCCCTGACATAAAGAATTAACAATTAATGTTTTGAAAAGAAGGAGTTCCGTATTGAAGAGGCCCTCAATTCTATTTTGCGCATAGCATCTGTGTTATGGGCAGAGGTGTATCTACGTAAAATTGCGCTCATGGCAAAGTCTAAAAATGTGCCTCCTTGATAGTTGTTTGACAATTTATAATGACTATTATTGAATTGAGATACTTGTACGATATTATTTTCGCCTTTTTTGCGCCGTTGTTCAAACGGCGCCCATGTCACAAGCCCTGGCTGCCACACCCAAGATACGACAATAGTTATGGGACAGAAGCAAAAGTGATTTCAAGCAAACAAATGAAAATATATTCCTATTTCACAATTGGTTTCGCGACAGGTGGACGGCTTCGAATAAGGAGTATTTATTGTTACTTTTCTAATACAGAGTGTTGAAAAATTTACGCAAAATTAAGGTAAAATTTTTCTTCCTGGCAACGTTAAAAAAAGTAACTATCAAAAAGCGTCAGTCGTGATAGGTTTAAATGGCATTTTGCCGTAATTCAATAGTGTTAAAAGGTGTCAGTCGTTAAATGTTTTAAGTAGCATTTCATCTTAACTTTTGTTAATTTTTCAACGCCCTGTAGTTCCGTAATTCAATATCCAAAAAAACGTTACATACCCATTATATTATGCTTTTTTTACTTGAGAGCATTCAGTTTAGTTCAGATTATCGCACAGTATGTGAGTCGACATTTGAATATCAATTAATTTTATTACTCTGTTTAAATGAAAATATCCCACTTATTGGCATATTGAATCGAATAACCCACACTCAATGTTTTGGGAAAATGAAACGGCAAATCTGCCCTCCATTTTCAGTGAAATAACTTATAAGCTGTTATAACTCAGTTGTTAGATAAGTTAGGACATCTGGCTAGCTAACGCGAAAATTATACAATCCTGAAGTCGAACAAATTAACTAACGTCTCTTGTTTATTAGAGTTGGCCATCGTGAATCATGATAATAAATAGCTAATAGACCATGTCGCGTATACCCAACATCGGATTAGTTTCGAACATAAATTCCGGTGAAGATGAACCGTCTGTATGTTATCTTTATTAATTTTTTTTAATTTTTAACCAATAAAAATGTGAAATAAATAAATACAATCTCAATATCGAAAAGATTTAAATTCCAGTCACAATTTTTTTTTTTGATTAAGGCGCCTTTTCAACGCGAAGATGATTTCGTGTCAAATGGGAGTCTTAGAGAGTTTATGAAAGATACTGAAAGAAAATTTGCTGATCTTGAAGTGAAAAATCAGGAGAAGGGAAATAGGATTGCTGATCTTGAAAAAGCAAAACAGGATAACGAGGTTGGTTTATCTAAATTTGTTACGTAATTTAGGAATTATTCAATCGTTTTCAAAGGTTGGAACACAGGATTACCGAGCTTGAGAATGCAAATCAAGAAAAGGAGGTTGGTTTATTTGGCCATTTTTCATTACAGCGTATAAGAAAGCACTTTCGATTAGATCTCGAAATTAAGAAATTTAGTCAAACTTTTTTTACAAATATTGCATCATACGTTTCCCATGCATTGTCATTTCAGAGAGAAATTGAAAAATTAAAGTTGGATGTGAGGGAATACGCAAAAAAGATTGAGAATCTCCAGCAGCAGCTAGATCAGGCATTGGAAAAGTGTAAGAATGCTAACGAGAGGATTCAAACTTTGGAGAAATTGGTTGAAGAAAAAGAAGTTCGGAATCTATATTTCTGTTTATTTGACAAGATGTGAACCTATGAATCGCTTTGTTATTACCGCGTTTCCTCAAAAATTAGACCTATCTTAAAAATAAGACCTACCCTGAAAATAAGACCTACCCTGAAAATTAACCCTAGTCTGAATTTTGAAAATGATTTTGACATAAGCCCTCCTCTTAAAATAGGACTGCGACCTATTCGATAGCAAGAAATCTCTCTCCTATACTTTTTAAATGATTAATAATCTATGTTTTGCAGATATTATGAATAAAAACGTATTATTTATAAATAAATAGATATCGGTTTTCTGATTTTGTATATTTGAAATCTCGTAATTCTCTACTTTGTGATCTACTTTGTAAAAAATAAAACTTCCCCCGAAAATAGTGTTATTTTTTGGGGAAAATTTAAATAAGACATAGTCTTCTTTTCGGGGAAACACGGTATGTTGTTGGAAGTTTTTTTTGTGAAAAATTGCTTTTGTCTTTAACTACCCGATAAATTGCTTTAAAATTTTCAGTTGTAAGAGATTATATTTGCTGTTATTATTTTTTATTTTTATTTTTTTAATTTTTGCGAGCTCGATGGGATTTGTCTTTCACTTCTAAATTTGTGCGGTGACGTCAACAAAATTAAAATTGCTAGTAGCGGTTTAGGCTTCTACCGGTTCATGCCCCCTAATTCTGACAATTCTACATTTCCGAATAATATTTTACTTTTCTACTATTTGCTTTATCCCTTTGTGGTGTTATTGTACTTTCAACTTTCAGAAAGCTCAACTTTCAAATTATTTATCCTCGGTTATTATTACATTTTTCAGAGTGAGATACAAAATTTAAAGATATTCAAAACAGACTTTGAAAACGTCGTTGCAGAAAATCAAGCGCTTAGGAAAACACTGTCGCAGTGTGGCGTAAAAAAGAAAGTGAGTATTGGTATTTAATTATTTTTTCTCAATAATTAACAAGGACAAGACGAGTGTGCAGTTCGACACAAATTTGAAATCAAATCTTTTTGTGAAATATCTGTATCAGGTATTCGAATGATCGAAATTACAGTACTGTAACCCCCACTAGACTGGGTCATCTAAAAATTACGTCAGTATGACGTCATAGTGACGTAATAAGGCCCTTCAAACTATACGAGTCTACTATATCAACTACTATTCAAACTATATCAAGCTATTTCTCTCATTTTCACTTCGCAACGATCCCGATATGAGAGAGATCGCTGCCGTTAGTGAGTTCCTTATCGTCGGCGCAGACGTGATTGTGACGTTGTAGTGACGTAATTTTTAGATGGCATAGTCAGGTGGGGGTTAGGAATGACATGTGCAAAAATTGTTATGCTACGCCCATTAGAAGAACTCGAGTCACAAAACTACACGAGACCCCTGTTTTCCTATGAAACTTGAGCTAAATAGTTTTCCAAACACCACTTGCAAACTCGTTCTACCAGTATTAAATGAACATTACCTGCCTTTTTCACATCTCTGCCAATAGTAAGACATACCAGTTTTGGAAATCAATATTATTCTTTTTTTTTTTTGTAGAACTGGTGGAAGGTTGCTTGTCTATCTGCCATTGCAGTAGTGGCAAGTGTCGGCTGTGCTGCAGGGGTTGCTGCACTGGCTGGAGCAAATTTGGCCGCTACCTGTAGCGGATCTTTACTAATCTCTAAGGGATCTGTGGTGGTCTCTGCATCTGCTGCAGCGGCCGAGGGGTCAACGTTGGCCTGTGTCTCTGCTGCAGCCGCTGGGGGGTCAACGTTGGTCTGCGGATCTGCTGTAATCTCTACGGGGTCAGCGGTGGCCACTGGATCTTCTGTAATTTGTGGGGGAGCCGCGGTCACTGAGGGATGTGTTTTACTAGCTGGTGCCGCAATAGGTGGCGTTCTATGTACCATCGAAGATGATAGTGGAGGTTTACAAAAGCCCCTATTGACTTGAGTGTTTCCACGGCTGTGGATTCGAAATAAAACTACAACCCAATCCTACACGATTATTAAAATTTGAAACAATGCAAGTTTTTAATAACGCCAATAAAATAATATTCTTTTTGAGTTTCAAGTGGAAAGTTTTGACTCACTCGCCTCCTCTGTATTTCTAATTAGGGCTCATGACTTTGAGTCAAAAAATACGACTTTAATTCAAGTAAAACTTACTGAACTCGCGCTATATTCACTTAAAAAATAAAAAAAAATATTTCAATTTGAATTTTAACTCTGTTTTTAGTCCAGGATTCAGTGAAATTTTGAAATAAGAAAAAATATTAGTTGCTGTTTGTGTCTAATATGGAACACACAAATATTGAGATTTCATGGTGTGTTAATCACATTTACCTATGGTGAATATTCCACAAATATATTATTTAGCCTTCAAATTTATATATTCTTCATGCCATAGAGTCGTATCACCCTTTCGATCATTTCAAAACAATTTTACGTTCCATTTTATCACTCAATTCTGGGAAGTAGTAAATATGTTGAGAGATTTTATACTCAGGGCTATTAGGTCTGGGGAAATTTACAATAAACTTCGACTGAAAAAATCTCTTGGTCAATAAAAATGTTCACTCCGATTTCCAAATCCGAAATATAAAAATAATGATTTGACTCAAATTCAGAACTTGGAAAAAATATCAGAATTTTGTTGTATCCAAGCCTTTTAAATAGACTACTATTTTAAAAGACTGCTAAAGAAACTCAGTAAATTTAATTCTTTTTGAAATTTTGGAGCAGGTTTTAAATCCTTTTATCAATATTACGATTCTGAATTTTGACTCTGGGGAATTGATAATTTTAATTCCAATGAAAACATGCAAAACTCGGACTCCACAGCCCTGTTTATTTGACTCGTGCATCTGATAAAATTCATCTATTATGTTTATACGTCATTAGTAGTTTTGTTTCCTCTGTTTTTGTATATAAAAATCGTATGTGCTTTCCTATCAGTCTAATAATAAACATTAATTAATGAATTTCGACTCTCAGATGATTTACAGAATAGATACACTGCATTGTCAATAGGTATCACAAATAATCCTTAAGCTAGCGTTTCCTTTTCCCAACTTTAGATGAATTTTTTACATCAGGAATTTTGTTGTTTTCGGGAAATAAAATAAAAAAAATTTTACTCTGCATTTGAGGTAGTTTCACTAATATTGTTTAGCAATTCAATACAATTAGAATGCGTATTTCTGGACACATTATACCAGTGATTCTTAAACTTTTTGAGCCGCGCCCCCCTTTGAAAAATTTTACAAACTTCGCGCCCCCCCCCCTCTTTTTGCTTTGAAAAAATGCTTTTGTGATGGACAAGTTGTTATATATTAGGATGGCGCTATAAGAATGTTGGTCTCATAGCGTCATTGCTCAGATTGTTTAGGCATAAAACGCTTCGGAGTACAACTTCACCATTCACTGTCGTATGAATAAAGCCAAATAGTGGTTGGTCGTCGTCATATATTCTCGTTTTTCCGCTCAGTTTGCAATACTTGGCAAACTAATTATTGAGTAAAACTAAACAAGCAATAAACCTATGCTTCAATGTATTTTCTGCTTAAACATTTACATCAGACACGTGAGATTTCAATCAATTGTTGTCGCTAAGGCGTTTGCGATTGCATTTTGTTTAAATCTCCACTGTTTACGTCAGCGTGGCGTGTTATTTAAGCCCTAAAAATCTTGATTTCGGTGTTTATTCTTCCTAAATCCGAAATTTTTCTCGACATATTCTCGTGCCGCGAAGACGATTATAATTACTTTTTTTGTTCTCGAATGGAACCATGACACCTCTGAGGAAAACGAGTTAGTTTTTATTATATAATCATCAGCGACGAGATGCTAAAGATAGAATAAAAAAGTGAATCCGTAACTAAAAAATTTCTTTATTGTAAAAGTGGCATTACAAAAATACTGAAAATAAAACGGAAAACGCCATGAGTTTTGTTTTGGGGTGGACCGCGACAGATTAAAAACACTTTCTTAGACGTTGAAAATCTCATGAATTCCTTGTGCGTGCGGCACACCAGTAGTGTTCAAAACTACAGACTTGATATAATTTTTACTCCGTGGGATCGCAGACTTAGGAATATCTGTAACGGTGATATCTTGAAATTAATCGAGTGGCGGCATTGCGATCGAGCGGAGTAAGAGTTGCAGGGACAGCTCATATTGGTGAATTGGCAAGAATACAAATCAAAATGTAATCGACATTTTAATGGTTGCGGATTACCGTGTTATTTTGGAGTACTGGTGCTTTTATTTTATCGACGCATTCGCAGATTTAATTTATCACAATCAAATGAATAAAGCAACCATTTTAAATAAGTATATCGATCATGGATTGAATATTTTATTCAACAGAAAAACCATTACATATATATCCGTTGAAAAAGTCGGCTCTTTTAACGCCTGGCGTAATCTCGGGGACTGACTCAGAAGCCGTACCACGGGGATTTCGTGTCGATGAATATGTATTTTTCATCTACTAATATACTTTACATGTATTTTAATTGTACTGAATTAAATATACTTTCTGGGATATTATACCAGATTTTTCTAATGACGACAACGAATTCGCATGAGTGCAATATATAAAAACTAAATATAATCTGGCAGTTGATCACACTTTATTATGTCTGCGAATTTTAGATAGATAATGAGTTTATTTTGTCGTGAGTCGCCGCAACCGCGAGTTACCTTGAACACAAATGAATTAAAATAGAGATACATTTTGAAATATTGTAGTTATTACGAGACAGCAAAATTTATTATAACACGAAAAAGCCGGTATTTTCAACGAACGCGTAGACAGTTTCAGGAGCCGTTGCATGTAAATTCCCGATTCTATCTTGTGACTTCTCGCGCCCCTCCTGTGAGCATCTCGCGCCCCCCAGTTTAAGAACCACTGTTATAGACTATTCACACTGCAAAAAAGCAGGAGTGTGAGTTGTTTTATACCAAAAATAATGTTTTCTTATACATAATAGTGGGGGAGGGATAAAGATATTCAATAAGGGCAAAAGAGAGAAATAAATTTAGAAAAGTTACCAGTTGTGAATTGTGATATCGGCTCTGCAAAGTCTATCTATCTACCTTATGGCAACCTTTTGTTGCTCACAGACCAAAATTGAGGGATGCAAGTCATTGGTGGGCCTCACATATTTTTAGAAAGTTAAAAACCGAACGGATGGTCGATAAATCACATTTTTTCATACATATCAGAAGTTTTAAGCAGAACGCGAAGACTGCGCCAACTCGCGAACACAACCTGGTCGTCTTACATGAAAAAAAAAAATACAAATGACATTTAATGTGAAACTTTTTGTTGCATCACGCTTTTCTAAATTGTCGCCTTCAAAATTGGACATTTTGGCATAGTCAACACTAGGGTTGCATCGGTCGTGCAAGTTACGGGTATCAGGGACATACCCTTTGAAACTGGAATTATGACGTCACGTTTCTATCACCATGACAACTTAATATAGCTCCGAGTTTCTTAATTTGTTTTAAAATTCAAGCTGTTACCAAATGCAGCCTACTTGCGTGAAGCGCACGTATCTCTGTATTTCTGTATTTTTCAGGTAAAAAAAACTGTAGAAAAAACATTTTCTCTATAAATCCAATATCAAGTCAAAACGAATTTTCCAAGTATGAATAAATGACATCATAATATACATCACGTTAAAAAATTTCAATTTTTTTAAATGCTTGTTGAACGAAATTCTGCGTCCCAGAAGTATATGTACGGTATATATATATATATTGTTGTAGTAGAAGTATATATTGCTGTAGTAGAAGTATAAATATCTCGATAACGGATCAGTCCGCCCTTCACAGTTCCTGTCATTTCAATATTCATTTATTGGACACGAAGTGGACATAACGATCGTTTCAATATTATGTTGGGCTTGTTGTTGTTGTTGTTCTTTGACACTTTTTGGACATCTAGTGGAAAATCTAAAAAACCGCTTTTCTCTTCGATCACTGGACCAATTGCTTTGAAATTTTTAGTGGTTAAAGATGAAATTTTTCTCCAGAAAGCTGTTACTTTTATTTATTTCAAATATTTCTGTTAGCTCTATGAGATTTGTTTTTGTTTGCTATGACGTCACTGAACGTTCTGCGGGCGCATATGCAGGCACTCCTCTTTTTGATCACGTGACATCGAACGTTGGCGTGACGGCCGATTCTGAAAGTCGTTACTCAAAAATCGCAAGTTTTTCGAGGTTACCGGTGAATGGCGGTGATGCTAAAGGTACGGTAGACCGTACTGTACTGCTTCGCTTGGTGTGAATATATTTGTAGACTGTGGTCTAGCTAGAGGTACGGTAAACCGTACTTCACTACTTCGCTTGGTGTGAATATATTTGTAGACTGTGGTCTAAAGGTACGGTAAACCGTACCGGTACTGTACTGCTTTGCTTGGTGTGAATATATCTATAGACTGTGATCGAAATGCTTCGCTGTGGTATCTGCTGTTATAATACCGTGATAAATCGAATAAGTTGGTTTTGCAAATAAGGAGCGTCCGGCATTACAGGTAGGAGGGGGAATAGGGGTGTGCGCATTTCCAATACGCCGATATATTTTGTCTGTTTTATTGCTGTGATGTAGTGCTAACCAATTTGCGACCACCGTGTTTTTGTCTGTTTGATGGCTGTGATGTGGTGCTTGGTTTATAATTTGACGAGTTTTGTTTGAAATAACCGTGTTCTTAAATTATATAACGGTCAGAAATGCAATTAGAAGCCCAATGTTTTTAAAGATGGAGAAGTTTTGGTACTGTAACACAGCGCGGTGACACTGATCTTACTCGTAGCTGTCAAAAGTTTGAAAATCCATACAAATATAAGAGATAAAAAGATGAAACTTGGCAGGTTGGTAGAGTTGTGTTTCTTTTAACCATCTTTGATGGTTTCGCTTTTTTACATTTAAAGGAGGTGGAGTGCGCATTTCCAATACGTCGATAATATCTTTGTCAACCAATTTGCGACCACCGTGTTTTTGTCTGTTTGATTACTGTGATGTGGTGCTTTGTTTATTTATACAGGTACTGGTAAGTCACCGCATATGATTTTTGGGGAATTGTTCTGAGTGTCCATATATTTGAGCATTGCTCTCTTGTTATAGATATTTTTCCGTTGATACTTTTTTGGAGTGACAAATAAAAAATTTTCTTTTTGAGTAACGTGTAACATCGCGGCTTTGTTATTTTGTTTAAAGTATTTGAACATGTGAGCGCTTAGAAAGAATCTGTTAGCACTTTCCGTGCCATATATGGAGGTTATTGCATTGTTATGATATCAGGCAAAAACAATTGTTTCCACCTATATCTATTGTGTAATCTCCCGAAAAACAAAATTTTCTCAGGAACGAGATCCACATTAGGCTCTAAATTTCCAACACGAATATGATTGTATTTGAATACCCACAAAGTGTCGCATATACATCCATTTGTGGCGCACTGGTGACTAGATCAGGGTGTATTGTATGATACTGCAATATTGTTTAAAAAACGAAAAGGATATACATTATTAGACAATTATC